CAACATTTTGTCTTCATCCCTGATTAACAAGACTTTAGATCAAAACCTTTCAAAGAACTCATTTGTCCTTAGAACATGTTTCTGATGAAGGTGTGAGTGAAATATTATCTCTGCATTATAGATAAGAAAACAGGTACTTAAGTTTTTGTGCTTGTATTTTTTTTTATTTCAAGATAATCTATAGAGAGTAATACAAATGAACTCATCTGTATCCTCACACATTACCCTCATCATAGAATTATTTTGAAGGAAATTCTAGAGATCATATCATTTTGCTTGTAAATATTAGTTGTCATACTTAAGAAAATTTATAGGTATATATGTATATGTATTTATATGTGTGTGTATGTATGTGTGTTTATATATATATGTATATATACATGTATGTATGTGTGTGTATATATATACATGTATATATACACACACATAAAACAGAAATTTTACAATTCACTATACAGCTTAAGAAAAAATGGAGATGGCAAAAGGAAGACTCTATGAACTTTAAGATTGCTTGGTAGTAATTTATCCAATCCAAAGTGCAGAGAGATAGATCTCTCTCTTTCTCTCTCTCTCTCTCTCTCTCTCTCTCACACACACACACACACACACACACACACACTTATTTGTTGAAGAAATTGGATCATTTATCCTACAGTTTTTCGTAGTCTTGATTTCGCTGATTGAATCTTCGAGTTTTTTTTTTCTTTCTATTTTTGGATCAGATATAGGTTTGTTAATTGGTTAGTAAGAATATGTAGTAGGAAATATTGTTTACTTTTATCAGGAGGCATATAGTATGTCTAGGTACTAGATTTACTGGGGTGATCACTTCGTAAGTTATATAAATGTCTAATCACTGTGTTGTACACTGAAAATAATATGTCAACGATAATTGAAGAAAATACAAAGTTATTAAAAAAATAATAATAACATGTCTGGGTCATATTAATATTCACTGATGAACTTTGCTTAGATTTATTTTATTAGGGATTGCAAACAGGTGATATTTTAAATTTCTTCATTTATTAGCAGAGATACCTCTACTTTATCACCTATTTGGTTGAGGTACAGTTCTTATAGGAAAGACAAGATGATGGCTTAGTTACCAAAACAGTGAAGGTGGTTTCCTAGCATCCTTCAAAGGTGACTAATGAGTTATAGTTTTTAAATATTATTATGAATTTATGGATTAAAAGACATTTCACGCATCAGTCCATTACCACTGTTATTATTGGTATTCAGATTGTCCCATTTTTGGCTACTGGAAGCCTCTTCAAGTTGGTCCATTTGATACAACCCTGGTAATCTTTGAATACCTGTTCTGGTAGGACAAGATATTCCAGAATAATCCTGTACATTTCCTGGTCCAGGCTGGGAATCAGCCATTTCTCTAAAAAGCTCTGATTCTTTTTAGTAGGAAAGGGTATTTACAGACCATAATCTGAGTACATAGAAGATTTTTTTAAAGTCACGTAGTCAAAGGTAAAGTAAAACAATTCCTAAATCTGTCCTGATTTAGTCATTTTCCATTACCACAGAAATGGAGAGGTTGAAGTAGTTTTAATTAAAAATAATGAACAACTTAAAAGAAACTTTCCTTTAACTTCAGAGTTAATTATCTTTTGTTGCAATATTGGTTTCTCAGATTATATTTTTATTGACTTCAGTTGGCCTTCTCTAGTTACCTACCATCTCATGCAGTGAGGTTGCAGTTCGGTATGTGCTGATTGACAAATGTTGAGCCAGCAAGGATTAAAATTTCACAGTGAAATAATCTCATATCTATCCACAAATCAATGAAAGTAACTGTAAAGCCTCCTAAGTCAACTAAAAGGTTTGTGATTATCAAAAGCAAGATAGGAAACTCTGACCTTGGATAGAACACTTATTTCAGAACATAAGTTTCCTCATCTGTAAATTAGAGTTGGATTAGAGATTCTCTCTAGGATCTCAGTCTATCAGTATAAAACTTTATCGTTATCTGAGTTCTTTTTCTTTCTCATTCTTTTATTCATTAAATACTTTTCAGTCACTTAGTGGGTGCCAGGCAGTATTTCAGGTCGTAGAAACAGTGTGGGCAAACATACTCAAATTCTTTCCTTTCGTATTATGCGAAGAGGAAAGATACTTCCATCATCTCTACATTTTGTGAGCCTATAACAGTAATAGTCTTGAAATTCACCTTGTGTTTTCTAATTCATTCCTTGTTTGAGAAGTAAAGTCCTGAGCACTGTTTTTGATACTTTGCCTACGATGAAAAACAGCTTGCATGAGCTTTCTGACATTACCAGAAACTATTTAATCATTTTTTCTTTGACATTCAGCCTTTTGGTTTAAGAAATTTTCCATTAGTTAAATTATTTTGGGTGATAAAATATAGAAGTTAATTCCATATTCCATAATCTATTCTGTGTTTCATTTTTACCTTCTAAAAACCTCGTGTTTGAAAAAAAATTAGTGGTAGTTTTTGGTTACCAGAGTTAATGGAGTAAGCAGTATATATTATTGCATTGTATTTTCTTAGAAGGATATAAATGATTCAGTTCATCAGATTTTCTACATACCTCTTTTCATTTGAAATGATATCTTGGTGTTATTAAAAATGTACATACTCATCTATCAAAATCACACTTTTCTTATTTAAAAGTTGCATCTATTTTAATCCTATATACAAAAGGTAGTCAGAAATTTGTGTTAAAATGGATTTGGGTGGAGTAAAGTACAATTTCAGCAACAATTTCAGCAAAATATGAAGAATACTTTGAATTTTATTGTTTGGGAATGTTTTTTGAGTGCCAACAGCAATAGAGGGTTCCCTTTGCCCCTCACTGAGTCAGCCTTCAATTACTCTGATAGAAAAGCATATCACACAGTCTTCCAAGAGTGAAATCATTCTCTGCTGGTGATAATAAGCTTTAAACTTAAAGGAATTGGTTACATGGTTTTTCAGGCTTTAAGATGCCACTTAGGGTAGCATTTTTTCCCCTTCTTTAATCCGCCCCGCCCCTCACTTCCACCCCTGACCTATGGATGTTGCTGTTTCCCCTTAAAAAATGGATTTCTAAAGGTGGGGTGTCTCCTCCCACACAATCGCGGTGTGCACCCTGGGCCTGGTGCACCCGGGGTATGGTCCGTGGCTACACTTGGGGTGTGAACCCAGGACCTTCTGCGTGTAAAGCAGACGTGCTAACAGCCACACTATGGAGCCACCCCAGGGTAGCATTTTTAAAATATAATTACTTAAAAGAGTTAATTCACAAAGTTTATTAATGCATAAGAGTGTAAAAAGAGCCTATTGTGATAAAATTACAGTGCTGGCCTTTAGTCTATCATAATCCTCTGAACTCATTCCTATATTTTTAAAGTGACAGGATAGGCTATCTCTAAGATGATTACCAATCCTTATATTTTGTGATGCCCCAAAGTTGCCAAGTTATGTCGCTACTAAAAAAATGTACAGCATACATTTTTTTCTTCATGATATGTGAATAAGAATTCCTTCAGAAAAGAACTTCTTATGTAGTATATATGGTGTTCACCTGCCCATTTTTCAGAGGATGGATAGATTTTCATTCTAACTCTGCTACTTCTATAACGACCACATAGACATCATTAGATGAGTATGTTAGTATTGGTGCTTGACTCTACATACAGTCTTTCTTCACTCTGTACTCAACACACTCAAGCATTCTTCTCATTCTTAATCAGCCAGATATTGTTCTGCACACATTACAGCAGGCTTAGCCTTACTCCTCTAGAACTGCTCTACTAGAGTAGCCACTAGGCATCAATGGCTGTAAGGCTCTTAAAATGTTACTGATCCGAATTGAGATATGCCATAAAGTATAAGATAGACTGGATTTTGGAAATTTAATATGAAAAGAGAATGTAAAATATCTCAAAAAAATCTTTATCCAGTATTTGAATATTTTGGATATGTTTTGTAAAATACATTATTTTTAAATAATGTAATAATCATTACATAATTTTTCACCGTTTTTATTTTACTTTTTTTTTTTAATGTGGTTGCTTGAAAACCTTAAATTACATATGTGGCTCACATTGTATTTCTGATAGACAGAACTGCTCTAGAATAATGTAGTATCAGTCATTATCTGGGCATCCAAGTCCCTGTCTTTGTTTGATAGATAGTTCTATTCTAGACTTTTCTCCACAGATTCCTTGGAAACTACATGTATTTGCTAGCTTGTCATGTGGCATCACAGTGCCTGTGTGTGACTTGTGAATAGATTTTTCTCTTCTACACGTAGACACGATAAGTATCACTACAATGTCAGACTTTGTACACTCAGAAAAAAAGATTTAGACTATCAACATGAATGAAAGCACTGCCTTTGTTCTAGTCTTGCATTCAGCATTTGAAAAAATAATTTTTACCATTATGAGGGTTATATTACTTTATAGATCTTTGGCTATGGGCTTTGTAAATGAATATTATATATGTAATAAATGTTAATGAGGACAACCTGTTTTGCTGCAGTAAATACTAAGTTATGGTTTTACTGCTTTAACTGATAACACTGTATATTATACATGAATATTAGAATAAGAAACATACCTTACTGATTCTCCTATTTTATTACTGTTGAAAATATAGTTAACATAATTCACACTACAGTTATGACATGCTGTACTTCTTTTATTGCAAATTTTAAGATGTATATAAAAAAGACAGCAAACTCCTACTTAAACTGAGAGATCAAAACAGGTTATGTTTTAATCTCATGTAATTTAACATAAATGCGATATGTAACATATTTTGAAACATCTAGTATTTTTAATATAAAGCATTTTTTAAAAAAACCTTTTAGATTTGAGTTTAAATATTGAAAATTCTCAAAATTACATATTTTAAATTTCAAATGATCAGCAATAAGATTTAATTGCACGTGGTGTAAATGTGATAGCTAAGCAATAAAACATTTGATCACTACAGAAATATTCTCTTGTAAAACACCAATTTTGGTCTTAATATTTAGGAAACCAGAATTCGGGCAATGGATAAGAATGCCAAGACAAGAATCCATAATTTCTCCATCATCAACCCTGCAGCTGGACAGGCTATAACGCATATTTTTGCAGCTGAAAATAAAGAAGACCTTCAGAAGTGGATGGAAGCCTTCTGGCAGCATTTCTTTGATCTTAGTAAGCTGACGTTTGGATTTTCTAGTAGTATATTCATAGCACAAAAGGATGCATAGAGCAATCTAAATAGTAAAATTGCAATCTTATAGTTTGCATCAAGTTTTTATGCTCTTGAATAAAACGGCAATATATCACCAACGTAGTGATGCTTTTCTCTCAGCTTCTCCCCAGTGCCTGGCTATAGTATAGCACAACTTTGAATTCCTAGTATCCTCACCTCTTACTGTAAGTTCCTCTGGTCCCTAAAACAACTAGACCACATTTTCTCAGAATATTAGGTTTTAACTACTTTAGACAGTATGTTTGATCAAAGGGATAAGAAGCCACTTGAGGAATAAAAAACTTGTCTAGGGGATAGATCCTAAAATATTGAAATATTCAGAAGGAGGCTCATATTTTCTGTAACCTTCTGTTAACTCCAGATTCATTATAATATCATCATGGACATCATCCAAAGAGATTTTTTTTTAAACCATGGTTATGGTTTTTCTCTTTGAATAACACAGTCCAATGGCATGAATTATAAAAACAATGTGACAATAATGTAATAGAGTTCCAGTAGATAAAATATTTGAGGCTCTAATGTTCTCAATTTAAGGAGGAATTTTATCAACAGGAAAATACTGAAAATGTGTGTTGAAAACGTAGACTATTGATAATGGCTGTTTCTAATCAAATTAAGCCTACTGTTTCTATAGAATTACAAAGTAGAGACATTTCCAGGCAATAGACAGGTACTTTTGCAACTCCTAGAAATAACCCTAGAGACATTTTAGGACTTCTTATAAGCTGTTTGGGAGAACTCTATGAAAGTTAATGTCTGCATTCCTAGGATTAAGTTTTATAAACCTACTCTGACCCATGGCCTGGTCAGATATAGTGATGGTTAGGGAGGGGGCAAAAAGGGAACTGAATTTATTGATTACCTTCCACATACCATATGGCTTCATTTATTTCTCATAACAACCCAGTGATGTAGAAATTATTTCCTTCTGCTCTAAAGAAGAGAAAATCAAGGCTTGCAGAGGTGTCTGGTTTGCTGCAGGGAACCAGAGGACTCCCTCTCTGGTCTTTCTGGATTCTTTAGGACGTGTTTTCCTTAAGTACTATTCCTAGGCACTCAATAGATGTTTAAATATTTGTTCCATGCTTATCATTGTGCACTACATTTTTTCCTTTTAAAATTTCAGCTGATCTTAGGTGTTGCTTAAAAAACAACTTCCTTTTGTTTGCTGATCACAGCTAAAATTTTAACTGCTTTTCCAAATGCTCTGATTTAGAGAGTCTGTCTTACAAAAGGCTATATTATTTTTAGAAATGATTCTGGTATTTTATAATTTTTATGTACATAAAAACAGGAAGGAGGGGTAAAAGGAGGTAAAAATGCCAGGGTATTATAGTCTGGATATCAACTATTACTAGATGATCTGTTTTCATTCTGCAGATTATGTAAAATAATTTTCATGCTAAAAGGGAAGTTGGAGGGATAAGAATCTCATGGCATTTTTGTACTGTCAAAGTAATAAGAAAGTAATGACAACAGTGTTCTCAAATCTGGCTATTTCTTTAGTACTTAATGCTTTTAGGATAAAATCTGCCTATCTAATTTTTAAAGTATAAATTATATTAAGTTTGCACTTTAGAATTCATTGTGTATAGAGATATGAAGCAAAGATGGAAGTGTTTATACTTAGAGATTGACTTGCACTTAAAGTTGACTTGCACTTAAAGTTTTCACCTTCCTAGTGATAAGGGCAGCCTCTTGGGATCTTAGCTGAAATACAATGTGTAGAACAAAGTAGAAGGTAGATATTCAGGGAAGAACAAATAAGAGTAATTTAATATAGAGAGCAAATTTCAATTATTTAACTCTGCTTAAGAGTACAAAGTGAGGAGGGTGAGATCATTAGAAATTGTGAGAAAACATTAATGGAGCTAGGTCTGTTTAGCCTGTGGAAGAACAGTCTGAGGAGTGGAGGTTGGGAGGCGAGGGAGATATAATAGTTAATTTTTGATATTGGAAAGCTGATAAACATTTAAAAGGGGGATGACACTTTGCTCTGGATGATCAAAAAGGGGAGAGCTAGGAGCGGTGGGTCAAAAATAAATTTTTTTCAAATATTTAATAATGTAAATATTGTGTTACATGTTATGCAGTTTAGCATAACAGATTATTTTGATTGGGAATATTATAACAATAAATACTGTGGGCAGCATCTTCAGTATATAGATTTTATGTGAATAAAACATTCATTTAGTATTTCACACTGGGTCTTTATTTTTATGTTAGCATATTGGTAGCACGTATAACTCTGCATCCTAATTTGTTCACTGGTAAAATGTTTCAATCGTAAAATCTTGACCAGTGAACATATCACATTTTTTGTACCTCTGACTTCAGAAACATATAGGATAATGTGACTTTATATTCCAGTTTTCAGCATGATTAGTATTCTGCTACTAGTTTAACCATCAAAAGCTTTCATCTGACAATATAGAGAAAATACCGCACTTTATAATTTGACAGAGAAATGTTTGCTAGTTTAAAGTGTTTCATTATTTTTCCATTAGATATGGCCTTTTTTTCTGCTCCCAAAAAGGAAAAGCTGGCTTTTATATATTTACCTAAAAAAGGAAGTAGAGGGGAGGAATAAGTTATCAGATCTCAGATCCTACTAGATTTAAATTCTGCAGAGCAACCTTTGAAGCTTCAAACTCAAGATTTTATTCCCTTTATGAGTTGCTATGTGGGTTATTTTGAAATTTTTATAATATTCTGTATTTAATATTGTAATAAAACATACTAAAAGGTTTTTTTTATGTTGTTTAACTATTTAAGATGGCATATGTAAAATTTGTGCATATATTACCATATTACTGTGACTGTATATTAGACTTAAAACAACAAACATGAATAATTTGACTGAACATGAATTGTCTTTAGTTTTAAGCCACAAAAAATAACTAACTTGGATATTGAATATAGAGATTGAGACTATAATAAAAGGAAAAGAAATACAGATTATTAATCAGTCTAAAAAGGCACATGTGTATTTACATTTCCTTTTCTACTGATGTAAAATAGAATTTAAGAATGGCGAACCTCAATAACTTAAACTTTTATAATATAAATATATAGACACATGGCTTCTCACATAGTTATCCAGCATGCAGGTGCATGATAAATATGGAAAAGTTAGGTTTATTTATGTTCACTCAGAAGAAATAAATTTGAGAATTTTATTTTAAGATGAAAATAGTAAAGCATAATTTAAAGAAAAATTAATGTTTTCCACACTTTTAAAGTTTAATTTAATAATCGAAACAACTTATTCTAGAGTACTTTTTTATTCTAAATGCCCAGTGGCTTTAATTAACGTGTCCTTCCTAAGATAAATTAAATTCAGTTAGAATTTTGAGTGTTCTGTCTTTATAGTAATAGGCTTTTATATACCTTTTACTTAAAGAAAGTACAGTGATTTTCTAAAGTTATATGAGTTTTCAAAAGCATGATAATATCTTGAAGCGGTGACTGTTAATAACCAATTTTTATTTTTTAATTAGAATTTTCAAAGTTAAAATCATTTTTGAGAACCTCCACTCCTTATTTGTTTTTCTACTTCCTCCTAAGTAGTAGAAAAACAGTTTTACCATTCAACTGTCTAAATACTGGACATTTTAATTTAATATTTAAAAGAAGAGCTTATACAAACTTATTCCATGAATAGAAATTTTACTTATTGGCCATTTAGTGAAATAATACAGTATTTAATAGCTTAGAGATCTTAGCTGTATATCTGTGCACAGAACTTTATTTTTAAAATAGATTACTTTCATGCCAAGACTTGGATCTTGAAATTATGACTAGTAATTGGTTTCTGTGGCTTCTTTAAGGTAATGCTTTATAAACTCACTGTTATTTTTCAAAGTGAAAAATGTGCCAATATGTATTGGAAATGAAATATATGTTCCCACATTTATGTTTTAAACTAGCTTGCCTTTTTCTATCTTGCTTAGGCCAATGGAAGCATTGTTGTGAAGAACTTATGAAAATTGAGATTATGTCACCACGGAAACCACCTTTGTTCTTGACAAAAGAGGCGACTTCAGTCTACCATGATATGAGTAAGTGGGGTTTGTCTTTTCTAAGCTGCAGGGTAACAAAAACAACATTGTCCATACTCAAGCAGCTTATTCTATTGACATTAAAATGCTAAAATTTTCAAGGCACAGTCAAAACGAATGAAAAAAGACTATGATTTTAGACTAAGGAACTCATGTTTAATAGATGAATTAATACAAAATTAATGAATACACATTTTTCTTAGTTTGAATGCTTAAGATCAAACAGAAATGTTAAGGCTTCAAAATGAATAAGGGTGCACTGAAAATAAATATTAGCCAAGTAGCTGATGAAAATTCTGAAAATGTAAACTTGCGGATTCTGAAATGTAATCATGTTCTGTAATTTTTTTCTATATTTTATTAAATTTGCTTGAAAGTAATGTTGATAAATGAATATTAATAAAGCTTTCATCTCAGGCCAAAAAATTGGTTAAGTTTAATACTTTGGAAAATTTTAAAGTCCTAGACTCATTAATATTCCTTCCATTTTCTCACACTTGGAAGGATATTTAGTTGTCTTTGTAGGATTGCCTCATTGAACAGCGTTGTGAACAAGCACAAGTCAATACCAAATTCTGATTTATTTTGCCACCAATGTCCCTGCACTCATGTGTACTTTTCAATGTTAGATTAAAAATGATACATTTGAGTTTGCATATTTTAAAATACCGGCGATTCATTTAATAAATATTTATCTCTGTTTTCTTATTTTTGCCAAGGAAAATTTCACCCAGCATTCTTATCACCAAAATGGTATCAGGGCTTTACCCTATTTCTCTGCGTTCTGGTTTTGTTATTTTTACCCTATTAACAGAGACTTTTCAGGTCTACAGGAGAGAGTAGTATAGTAATCCAGATATTTATGTCAATTTACTTATTAGGCTTTTATAAAATTAGAATCCGTTCTTTCCTAGTAGTCAGAATAGATTTTAAATCCTAAGAAAGTTATTTAATAATTACTAAATCTATAGAATTTTAAAAAAACGCAATGTAACTCCACTCTTTTGAAAGCTGGGTTTTACTCATTTACTTAGGAATACACATGTTTATGCATATGTACATGTGTGCGCATGCAGTATACAGAGCATGATCTCCTTAGGTTTTGGTTATTATTGATATGATTAGTTTTACAAATAAATGCTTGTAAAAAGAAAAATTCACTTGCTTATTTATCCTAGTCTGTTTTTGATGACTGTTATAGATGGCATATTTATTTAGAAAATAATCACTTAAGTGAAATATATACTGTTTTGAATTTTTTCCTTAAAATTGTTACAGGTATTGATTCACCTATAAAACTTGAAAGTTTAACTGATATAATACACAAAAAAATTGAAGAGACTAATGGACAGTTCCTTATTGGTCAGCATGAAGAATCCTCACCACCTCCTTCGGCCACACTATTTGATGGTAATCATCAAGTGGTCATCCAGAAAAATACATTGTCTTCTGCAAGCAAGCAGTTACATGATGGGAAAGGTAAAAAGAGACGAGCTCCCCTTCCTCCTTCTGATAAAGCTCCATTCAGCTTAATAACACAGAGCAACAGAGATCAATTGGTTAAGGACAACTGGGAAAAAACAGGTGTATCTCAGACCTCGCCTTTGGATGCCAAATTGTCAACCCTAATGCATCACTTACAGAAACCAGTGGCTGCTCCTCGAAAACTCCTTCCTGCCAGGAAAAATTGTTTAACCGATGGTGAACACACAGACACTAAAACCAATTTTGAAGCCAAGCCAGTGCCATCTCCAAGGCAGAAATCTATCAAAGACATTTTGGACCCTAGATCATGGTTGCAAGCACAAGGATAGAAAACCGTTAATGTATAAAACATTTAACAAAATCTATAACTGTGAGGCTTGATTCAGAAGCACTATAGATGTGGTACTATGAAATTATGTAGGTAAATAATATAGTTATTTACATCAATAATTAAGCTATTAGGAATAAAAATATTTTATAATGAAGAAAGGAATTTCTCTTTTACTTCTGAGTTTTAGAATATAAATGATTTCCCCTGCAGTATGCAAGGGGCAGTTTCTAGACAATATCCTAATTGTTAGAGAGGTTAAGTTATTTCTATATTAGTACCAGGCAGTGAACAAGCACTAGGCAGAAGAAAGCATTAAAATTTCTTTGGGGAGAGACTGTCTAGTAATTTTAAATGTGTTAAATATGAGCCATATTCTCACTGTGAGAATTTTAATACTAATGGAATGTTTCAAAACTTTTATTCAAACCACAAATTATAGAATCACCCCCCAAAATTTCTTCATAGCATTCTAGAATTTTCATTTAATAATAGTTCGCTGACTCTCATCTATTGTTTAACTCACTAGTTAACTCACTGACCTTTAAATTCCTGGGATAAATTTTGGAATATTAAATTCCTCATCTTTAAAGGAAATTTGTATTGTGCTATTCAAAGTTGTTTCCTTGATGAACCCTGAAATCCTGTAGACATTAACTCTTAAATGAAGCATAACATTTATTAGGTAAATGAAATGTTCTTCACTCTCATTTTCCTATGCATGGCGCTAATTTCCATTGTGACATTGGAATTTGGGGAAGTGAGTAGCTGATTAACACCTTAAAATTCATTTAATACTTATTTAAAAAGCAGATGGCTGATTCAAAAATATCAGAAAAGTGGGCCTTGGGTATAATTTTCAGAATTAATCCTTTTTAAAATTTTTAGATTTCCTTTTTCTGGTAAGGGTTGATGTCTGCTATTGCTATTACTCATTAAAAGTCATATTTCTACAATAATGACATTGGAATCATTTCCATAGGAGATAATTTCCATAGCAACTAATCATAGTGACCCAAACAGAATTATGAAATCAAGTAAGGAATAAATAGCAAGAGATTGAATATCTTAAAGGAACAACAACAACAACAAATCCATTTTTTATAATAATGCTTCTTTGTAAACAAGAGCTGAACAGTTTTACAGATTTAATCAGAATTTTCAAATAAAAGTTTCCATAAGGTGTCAGCAACTGCACTAAGAATCTCAAATCACAGTGAAGCCTCAGTGTCATTGCAAGAAATAAGAAATTACTGCCCTGTGTATAATCTCTAGAGATCTTTTTAAAGCCCGTAAGAACTCTATTTGGATCAGAACTACATTATTACAAAGTAAAAGGAATACTTGACCAAAAAAATAACATTAATTTAAATGAAGCCTTTCATTATTTTTAGATAGTAGAGCCTAATTTATTATAGAATGATGTAACTGCCAGGTTACTTTTGTGTTTGCCCAGGACTCTAGTAAGAATTGGGACTCGAGGGAGCAATGATACAAAAGGTCTCTTGTGACTGGGGACATCAGGATAGACCTAGTATTTGATGAGAAGGAAACCCTATATGCTTGCCTGATATAATTTAGAAACAATCACATGTATGAAAACCTAAAAAGGTAGGATTAATTTTTTCTAACTGTAAATTTCTGTTATGATTGCCAATTCAGTAAATGACATTAAAAATGTAAAAGATATTGTTGCTCAAATTTTTATTTTTTAAACCTCACTGCTGTTTTTGACAGCATTTGTGACTGTCATTGTCATTAAATTATTAAACTAGAATATGCTGTAGGCAAAGTTGTTTCTGAAACTGGCATCTAAGCATTTTTTTTTTTTTTTTAGTTGAAGCCTTCCTTATAACAAACCAGTGTTAAAACTTCCAGATTATATTCTTGTCATTTCTCCTTATGCATATTATATCAAGAAGGATTTAAGTTGTACAGGAAAAAGAATTTATTCATAGGGAAATTACCTAGCAGTTGCACCTTCAGCGGGGCACTCTGAAACAAGGCTGAAGCCCTTCTCTCTAGAACCATTTAAGGTGAAGTCTGACCAAGGACCACCTCCCCCACCAAATTATTCAGGCTGCTTCTGGGGGCCCATCTTACTGTATGTTACAAAGCTTTTGGAATTGGGCTGAAGTCTTTTGCTGTACTTCCTTTGACATTGTGCTCATTAAATGTTAGTTCAGTTCCCCCAAAAAATGTATGATGCGAAGTTGGGGCTCCTTCCTTTCTTTCCACAGTTTAAAAAAAAAAAACTAAAAATACTGAGTCAGACAGTTTGCTAAGCAGTTTGTCAAAAGGAATATTTGTTTTCTCATTTCCTAAACCAGAAGCTTATGACAGAGAAAAATATGCCATGTAATAAAAGATGTTTCAGCTTTTTATGAGCTGGATTTTCACATTCCTTGTTTGTCTTTTTAATTTGTTTCTTGATATATAGACTATAAACTTGAAAGTTAGCTGTCAGATCTTGATAATATTATAATTGGAGAAACATAATAGAAAGAATAGATTTTATGGTATGATAATTCTGATGATCTGAAGATAATATCTTAGAAAATTGCATTTACATTTCAAGCTCTGGGATATAAATTACTTAGAACAGCATTAAGACAGTATTATTTTTAATTGCTACAAAATGGTGTACTTTTTGTTTAAATATCTTGCAAGGACAAAGAAGGCATTTTGCTATTATAAATGCATAACTCCTAAGGTAAATAGTCTTTCAAAATATTAGGCGTGCCAACTCTTGGTGAGTTTTATTAAATTCTTCTTAACTGTCTGTTGTGCTCCCCGACTTCTTTTAAATGGATTTTCATGTATGTGGAAAACTAAATCCATTTATTATAAATGCTTTATCTTTACCCTTTAGGATCATACTAAATATATTTTACCTGGTACTGTTTATTAAAAATGGAAGCTGCCTTGATTTAGAGACAGTTCATGTATGGTAGGTTAAGCAGTGAAATATTTCTTTAGTCTTATGTTCAGTACCTCAGCCATCTACATGAAATTAATTCAGTCCAAAATGAAATTATAGGGCAGTTTGCTGCAATTTATGTTAAATGCAATTTGAATGTAATCACCTGTGTTACCGTGAATGAGAAACAGCCTTACTAGATAGAGTGCTGTACCATGGAGAAAAAGAGAGTAAAAATATCTGTCCTGTGGGTCAGAATTCATCCAAACTCGTTTTTGTAAAGAGTGAATTATTGAACAGTAATTATAGTTTAACTGATGACCATTTGTATTCTACTAGTTGTCTTCAATGTTCTATTAGACTTAAATTATAATGTAGATAGAGTTGACTTTTTGCACTTACATTTCAAAGAAATTACTATTTTTAAATATTTACATGTTTATGTTGTAACTGCTTCATTGCTAATAATAATTATATGAAAAACAGTTTATTTTGGGTCATGCGTGTTCTTAGTTACTAGAGAAGATGTTACCTTTGAGTTTTTAAAAGACAAGATTTCATTTGAAAATATGATGAGGTGTGTTATTTTCTATGACATGCTTGTATAATTGGCATTGTTTATGTTTTTTATTTTTTAATTAAATGTGGGTCAAGCTTCTAGATTTAAAAATGTTATATCACAGATTATATAGTTTTTAAAGTACCAAACATTGGTAAGGAAGCCAAGGTCATGTGATTAAAACTTCTGTACATGAAAAGACCTGATTCATGAAGATTTTTTCTAGCTTTTTTCCTTCGGTACCCACTGGACTACAATGATAGAAGTAAAGAGTGTTGTGAAGTCAGTTTATTCAGATAAAGACATACCTAATAGCTGGTGCTAGTCACTGTGAGACCAGCATTCGATAGCCTGGGTATAACTAACAGTTATTAAAATTTTTTGCATATAGTCTTTCTTACAGTATACTGTTTTACAACTCCATTGATGTAAACTTAGTTTTAGGTTAGTGATGAAGAATTTCCCCAGGGTTTAAGTCACTCTGATAAAAAATTAGGGACCTGGGATACTCAGTTGCTGTTAGCCACCAGGAGACTCCTTATTTTAATGCACCTTTCTCAGTACTTAATTTATTCCCATGGAGCACCTCGGGGAGGATGGAGGGAGAGGCTGAATAATCTTGGCTCAATTATATTACTTCAATATTTTATTTTTAAATCTGTAGTGTGACCAGAAATATTTAACATTTATTTTTAGAAGAAACTTCTGTTTCTCTAAGAGAGGCCTGCTAACCAATGAGCTCAGATAAACAAAATACCTGAAGGCTCAATTAACAAAAATTAAACTATTACAGAAATATTAACAAACACTTCTATTTATTTGAATATAGGGAAAAAATACCAATTCTGGCATGTTTGAAAGTTAGGTAAAACCATTCCAAATCTTGCTGAAAATTGTGTTTTAAATTATATCAGTTTGCTTTGAGAAAGAAATATGGTAAATTCTTAATGTAACTACTAAGGAAAGATAGATTGAAAAAGTCTTATATAGACATGCTATTTTGTAAACATGTTTCAATATTTCAAAATAGATTGTCTTGTTCAAAATGGATACTCTTGTGAGTTGAAACAAGATTTTTTTGTTTGAAAACCAAGAAAACTTGGTTTTTACAAATGGATACATTTTTGTTGAATTTAGACCTCTTAATAAACATTTTGACTTAAATAGTTGTAGCAATTTTTGTTTTATATTAAAGGGGAGAAAAGTATTAAAAGGGTTATCCATTCACTTACCTCAAGTATTAAAACATGTTTTATATATGTAATATAAAACTATAGACAATGAACATACATATACCAAGTATTAAAACATGTTTTATATATATAATATAAAACTATAGACAATATACATACATATACTCCATCCAGATATTTTCAGTTACTTTTAAAAGAATTTTTAAAAATGTGCTGCCAGTTCTAGTAGGATGAAAATCGAGACCTCTTTCCACAGCTTACGGGAAGCATCACAATCCATCTCCAATGCGCCGCACCCTACCTATGATTTACTCTCGCTGCCCTCATCTTTTGGATGTTGCCTCATCAGTATGTGCAGCTTCTTGCTCATCATTTTCCCACTGTACTCTCTTTGCCTGAAATATCTTTCCTCCTCCTTTTCTTTGTGCAAGCTCCCCTCAACCCACAGTCAGCAAATTTTATTCATTCTTCAAAATGATAACACCTCTAAATTTACCAAGGCTTAATATCCTCCTCAGCATCTCCACCTAGGTAGAGTTATACTCCTTCTTTTGTGCTTTATTTCTAGCTACCTCTATGTATAGCTCAGCCCTTGTTCATATTTTTGTATTTCCTCATGTACTAGTTTTGTGAATTCGCCCCCTGTATAACAGATCACCATAAACTTATCAACTTAAAATAACACCAGTTCATTATCTCACCTTTGTTTAGATCAGAAGTTCAGATAGGCTCTGATGGGTTCTCTTCTTAGGATCCCACAAGGCTGATGAAATGTTGGCCAAGCAGGGCTCTAACCTGGTGGCTCTGGGAAAAATCTGCTTCCAGGCTTATTCAGGTGTCAGCAGAATCCCATTCCTCATGATGTCTCAGCTCCTAAAGTTCTCGCATCTTCAAAGCTACCACAGTTCGTTAAATCTGGCACATTATGTCCTTGTGGAAGATTTGAATTTGTCCAATTCAAATCTGACTTTTCCATCCAGTATCAGCTTGAGAAAACTGCCTTTTAAAGGCCTATGTGATGGATTATATGTAGCCCACCAGGATAATTTCCTTTTTAATTAAAATCAAGATCCACTGATTAGTAACTTTAATTACATCTGGAAAAATTCCTTTTACATATAATATAATCATGGACATAATCATAGGGCAGGAAATCTTGGGGTGCCATTTTAGAATTCTGCCTGCCACAAGTTAGACAGATTTTTCAAGGGCAGAGAGCATGTCTTATTTGGCCTTTTAACCCCATCATAGTGTAACAATAATTAGGGCAGATTATTGGGTATTTATTATGTGTAAGGTGTTGTGCTAAATACATGAATTAACTCATTTAATCTTTACCGTAACCCTCCTATTCAACCCCATTAAACCAATGTAGAAGACTTGCCCTGGGCCACAGTGCACGGTAGCTAAGAGTATAAATTCTGGGATTAAACGTGGATTTAATTCTAGCTCTACCATGACCTAGCTGTGTTATTTGGCACTGGGTTGTTTTTTTTTTTTTAACCTCATCTAAGTATTTTTTTAAATCTTTAAGAAAAAAAATAGTACCTCAGTGATTATTAAATAGTACTTACCTCAGTAAAACAAGACAAATTAAGTAGGAATTTGACATCAAGACTAGAGTTGAGAGACATCGTGGAAAGAACACTCAGCTTATGATGTGGGGGAATTAGACTCTAGTCCCTGGTTTACTGTTAACCAGCCATGTTGTTAGTTGGGCAGGTTATTTATTCACCTGTCAACTTCCTTATCAGCAGAATCACTTGAATGGGTATTGGTGTTTGCTTCAATCTAATTGAGGGAGCCCTGGGCTCCTGAGTTGATGCCCTTAGAGGCAGCAACCAGTGGGATGATGCCAAGTGAGTGGGCTGGTTCTCCCTCTCCTAATTCAGTTGGAACAGCTCCAAGTTGATCTGTTTCATGTTTTAACCTCCTGAGCCAGTATTATAACAATCACCATTTTACAGATGAGTAGTTCGAGGCACAGAACAATTAAATAACTTGCCTAAAGTCTCACAGTGAGTGAGACAGGATTTGAACTTAATCGTGATCCAAAGTGAGTGCTAAACCTCCTCATTACACTAAAAAAACCTAATAAATGAAAAAGCAAAAAAGTGCTGAAAACTGACTAGCCTCCAAACCCTTTTTCCCTAGTAATGTGGTCACTTGGTATACCTTTTTGTATTAAAGCCCCAAGTGAAAATCCATCTCATTTTCAATTAGATCCAGCATATACTATTCTATGTATGGTGCCTGGCCCTGGAAGGTATTTGGAAGGGAAAGTTAGGGTATATGTCAACCTGACTCTACTACCAGGGTGTGGAAAGCATTGTAATAGAAATGAAGGGGAGGAAAAGAAAAATTCCATCCAAGGACATCTGGAAGAAATAGCGTTTGAGCTAGGCCTTGAAAGTATGGATTGATTTTCATTAATTACATTTCTTTCACTAGAAAGCAACAGAAGCTAAACTAAAGAAGAAAAAAAAATTAAAGATGGGGGAATTTAGTGACAGGCTAGCTATTGGAATCATCCAGAGGAGTGAAAGAAGCTAAGGAAAGATTGGACAGGACAAGTCAGGGTCCTCAACAACATAAAGATTGAAAGAATAAAGTCTTGTTCTTCTTCCTTGTTAGAATAGTCTTATAGAGTAGTGACTATATCAGTGTATTAAAACTATCTCATATTGGGATTACAAAATTAATCATAGAACTTAATATCCAGACGTGGTTCTAAACCAGGGGTGATTTATGTCCATCATAGAACATTGGACAAAGTCTGGAGACATTTTTGATCATCAGTACTAGGAGTGTGGGGTACTACTTGAATCTGGTAGGAAGAGACCAGGGATACTGCTAAATATAAAGTCATGTAGGACCGGGCTTTGCAAATATGGGCAAGTGCATTCTGTGCAGAAGGAACAGAATAAACAATGGGCAGGAGCATTACAGTGATTTAAAATATGTCTGCGAATTCTTCAACACCCCTCTTTAAAGGTGGGACTTAATTCCCCTCCCCACTTTGAATATGGACTTAGTGATTCACTTCTAACAAATGGAGTACAGTGGAAGTGATTCTATGTGTCTCATGAGGCTAGATCATAAAAAGGATCACATACCTAAGCACTCTCTTGGATCACTCACTTTGAGAGAAGCCAGCAACTACATTCAAACAGTCCTGGAAGAGACCCATGTGGAGAGGAACTGAGACCTCTCTCCAAAAAGGAGCACAGAAGTCCTCTCAGAAGCAGATCCCCAAGCCCAGGCATGACTGCAACCTCCTGAGAAATTCCAAGCCAGAAGCACCCAGCTAAGGGCCTCCTAAATTCTCGACCCACAGAAACAGATAATATGATAATGTTTATTGTTTTAATCAGTAAGTTTTAGTGTAATTTGTTTCCATAGCAATAGATGACTTTTAAAAAGCATGAAAATACAGGGTTTGCAGAGGGCTTTAAATAGTTTAGTTTCATATGGTTGGGGATTAGTGAAAAACATAGTTGATTAGGCAGGTGGAATCAGATCATGGAAGGCCTGAAATGTCAAGCTAAAGTGTTTGCCTTTTATTTGGCAGCTGGAGAAATCTGCAGTGTGAGCTTAGTACACCCAGATAATGTCTGACTTATTCTCTGCTAAAGTAGTAAGAGCAGAAGTAGTTACAATTAGTGTTGGAGAGCATGCTTATCATGAAATGGTCTCTAGAAGAAAAAGGTAGCCTATCAATGCCACAACTACGTAATAAGTTCCTGGAGGGCAAGGGCCTTTTTTTTTTTTTGGTCATTCTCTGTCAGTATAAAGGTACTGAAGGGAGCAATCCTCCCCTGGCTTTATAAAAAAAAAAAGTTTAAGTAGAGAAAAACTTCTCACATGTATCCAGGTCACTAATGCAACACTATTGACTTGATTTTTCTTACCTGCTAGCCTTTTTGCAAGGAGAGGGTGACACATTAAATTGCTTCCACCTGTGACATCTTAGCATGACTGCATTTATCAAATTCTCTTTTAAGTAGGCAAGAGGGAAGGAAAGGCCTGAAGGATTGTGAGGAGTGAGTGACACAGGGGTGAACAGATTGAAGGGAGGGAACATTGGGGGGCTCAGGACAAACCTCGTTTATTTGCGTCCACACCCAGGGCTTCGAATGGAGTCCATGATTCCTGCTCCGCTCTGTGAGAAATTCAACTGTCTCCTTTTTTGGGTTAGGGATTTTTTTTTTCCATTCTGTAGTTTGTAATATCAAAAGTGTTTCTTAAATAGTCAGTTGTGAGAGCAAAGCTGCCATCACCCCCAAATCAGTCACTCAGTTTCTCTGGGAAATTAGAATAGTGTGCCTGGTAAACTTCAACACTTTTGTTATATCATGCAGCCAAGTATTCCAAGAAATTAAATTCAATAAAAATTTAAAGATATGATTCCACTTTAGGTTAGTTTGGATTGATTTCAATCCAAATCAATTACAAAAATAAAATGCTTAGAGTGGAGAACCAGGAAAGTGTTGAACTAAATGTACCATAAGTCTTATCAACACTAGTGAAAATAGTCTGTTGTTTAATTTTCTGCCATGACTTCCTAGGAAGCAGTCAATAACTTCTACTGTTAATATGATATTTGGGGGGAAAAACATGTATTCAGCCAATACTTCGCTATTCCCCATCATATGTAGGATTCCGCTAGCTTCCTGGGCATACGCAGATGAGGATGAAGGCTAGTCTCTGTCCTCCTGGAGATTATAGATTAGTTGGATTGAATCATGGGGTTTAGTTCTAGTGTCAGAAAAGACACAAATATTTTTCTGATCAGTAACCAGCATTAAAATGATTGTACAATTCTCTGCTTCTGTTTCAGCAGCAGAAGCCCATTTCCAAACAAAATTTGATACATAAAACAGATCGAAGTAGTACTACTGTGGAATGGGAAGGGAGTGTGAGCACTTGGCCTCCCCATCCTGCTTCCTCACCCATCCCACTCCCTAGCGG